TCCGCTTGACACAATCAAAGATTTTGGCACTGATGCTCTGAGATTTACGATTGCACTAGGAACTGCTGGTCAGGTTTGATCACTACTCCTCTAGTGTGTCTAGCCAGATAGGCAGCTAATCCCTTGTTTGTTTTTTGTAGACTTACACTAAAATCTTGTATTTATGTCTGCTTTCCGTTCTATCTTTTCCCGTTACCCTTTTATTAGGATCTGAACTTATCTACTGAGAGGTTAACTGCAAACAAAGCATTCACCAACAAACTATGGAATGCTGGAAAGTTTGTGCTCCAGAGTCTGCCTAGTCTCAGCGATACATCTGCTTGGGAGAATTTGCTGGCCATCAAGGTTTACTTGCTTTTCCATCTCCATTACTTATTAATAGTTGCAGAATTGCATCAGAAGAAGTAATAAGCTACCTTAGTATCAATTACTCTATAATAAAGCTTGTCTAACATTTTGCTTCTTCTTTTTTCAGCTTGACAAAGAGGAAACCCTGCTCAGTTTACCCTTACCTGAATGTTGGGCGGTATTATTTTTAAACCCTGGAGTAATCAAAATAGTATTAATCTGCATATCACCTTATATTCCCTTTTGAGTTATCTTCAGGTGTCAAAACTCCATATCCTCATTGATTTCGTAACAGCAAGCTATGAGAAGTTCTTCTTTGGGGATGTAGGAAGAGAAACATATGATTTCTTTTGGAGTGACTTTGCCGATTGGTATATTCACCTGAACTATTAACAAACCAGTACATGCTTTCTTGGACTTAGCCTACTGACTAGTCTTACTATCTACTCTTTAAGGTATATTGAAGCCAGCAAATCTAGACTGTATGGATCTGGAGGCAGTTCAGATTCTTTAGTTTCTCAGGCAGTTCTGTTATATGTCTTTGAGAATATACTTAAGCTGTTGCATCCATTTATGCCGTTTGTAACCGAGGACCTATGGCAGGTATTAATAACATGCTCTCACTGACGTATTTTACCAATGCATGCTTAAGCTGTTATCTCTGTAGTCTAGCTTTTTCTTTAGCATGAAGTAAGAAGACCCTAAACTAAGTTGTATGTTGTTGATTACTTCACAAAAGCCATATTCTGATTGCATTTGTATTTGCAGGCACTACCCTACAGGAAAGAAGCGCTGATTGTATCTCCATGGCCACAAAATTCACTTCCAAGAAACGTTGAATCAATAAAAAGATTTGAGAACTTACAAGCTCTGGTAAGTATCAGTTTCTGCCTTGATATATTCTGCAAACCTCCAACAGAACCATACGTAAATGGTTTAGGTTTCAGAACATGTTGACACATTGCTTGTTAATTGGCAGACAAGAGCAATTAGAAATGTACGAGCAGAGTATACAGTGGAACCGGTAAAGCGTATATCTGCCTCAGTTGTTGGAAGTGCAGAGGTTCTTGGATACATCTCGGTGAGTAACTTTTGCCTTGTTGTAGCATGCATCCTTTTGAAATGTTTATTATTTGATTTGCATGGTGTCTTTGTCTCTGGATGCAGAAAGAAAAGGAGGTGTTAGCTCTTCTATCAAGGCTTGACTTAAACACCGTCAATTTTACTAACACTCCTCCTGGTATATAATAATATTTTAACTCCTTTTGCTCTCTTGTCTCAACTCATCCAACTCGTGGTCACAGTCATGGTTGGTCTTTTCTTTAGGTGATGCAAATCTCTCAGTCCACGTTGTAGCCAGTGAAGGACTAGAAGCGTATCTACCCCTTGCTGCCATGGTTGATATATCTTCTGAAGTCCAACGCATTTCCAAACGTCTCTCCAAGATGCAAACTGAATATGACGCCCTTATAACTCGCCTAAATTCACCAAAGGTATTGCCATCAAAAGTGTCTTTTACACATTTGTTAGATTATTTTTGTAACACAAAATTGAAACGCATAAAAAATGTAGTTTGTGGAGAAAGCTCCAGAAGAAGTGGTGAGAGGTGTTAAGGAGAAAGCAGAAGAAGCAGAAGAGAAGATAAAGCTGACCAAAGCTAGGCTTGATTTTCTCAAGTCCACTTCTTTAGTGTCTCAGTGAATAACTACTCACTGCCTCTTTAGTAATTATTATGACTAGCCAATATAGGCCCATGGACCATCCACTATTTTGTCAATGACACCTAATTTTTGGTTTGAAAAAAATCACCACCCTAAAAATGGTACTATTAGAGAGAATCAATTGCAACTTTATTGATCAGTGTCCTACTGTTGGGGTCCATAATGCCTTTTAAAAGCATGGTCAGTTTTCAAGCAACAAAATAAAGTGGATAATCTTTCTTTTTTTGGTTGTGCCACAGTTGTATTTATTATTACCCTCACCAACTAGTCAGAAAATGTGTACATCTTATATATTAAAACAGAAGTCATGACTTGATTTCATGTGTGATTTTTTTAAAAATGGACTGTTACTAGAAAGTTATGTTACATTAACTCTCTAATAATATTATCATTATTTTATCTTATAATATGCTTAACAATTTTGTTTTGGTAAATTACCCCACACCTTCCAACTTAGTCACGCAAAATATGTCAATAGATATAAATTTAGGAATCTTCTATTATTTATAAGGAAATATGTCAATAATAGTTAAATGCATCCAGAGTATATTAACAAAAATCACAGATTATTAATATGTAATATTTATATACCTTAACAAAATTTACACGTTATATATATTAGATAAATTTATTTCGAGGTAAAATTTTAAAATTGTATTGTTTAAAAAAAAGAAATTGTTTAAAAAGTTCCTTTTTAATAAAATTTTTATAATATTAATTTATGAAGCTATAAGTTTAGTTTTTAGCAAAAAATTCTTCGAAGTTTTTATTATCTGTGCAAATTAAATTACACTAATATTTAATCAAGCTCTATTTATATTACTTTATCTAAAAATGAAATACTAATCTAACAAACAATAAAATATAGAAGAAGAAACAAACACATGTTTGAAAGTCATGTATAATATAGAAAATTTGAAACAATCTATTTGATTAAAACACTTATTATATAATATTATTATGTTTGAAAAATATTTACTATACATATCGTAAATATGTGATTAATATAATATATACCAATTTACAAGTGAAAACAAAATGTTTATATAATTATAAACGAAAACAAACACCCGCGCGATTGCGCGGGTCAAAATCTAGTTTTGTATATTAAAAGGTCTTTGGATTTACATTTACAAATGTAAATCCATTTACAATTTACCAGGTGTTCATATTCGGTTTGGTTTAGATCAAAAAAACTTCGGTTTAAGAAAATATTAAGGCACTTCAATTTTTTGGTCTCAAAGACGATTTGGTTTAGTGTAATACAAAATTCATTTCAAGAAAAAGAATATTAGTAAAGCTAATCACTGAAAAAAATAGTAATAAATTACTAACCCACACCTAAAAGCAACCAGAAATTCTCACTTTAAAGATCTGTTTCCTTTTCCTTTTTTATGTTTCTTTTGACAACCTAATATTCATCATCACGCTTTCTCTTTTGCCTTTAGACAGCTTCTCCCTCCAATTTTCTTTTATACTTTTCTGAATAATAAATAATCACATAACATGATGATGATGATTACAATAGTTGTGAACCGACTCAACATGGTATTACATTAATGGAAAAACCATTGTTATGCAACTAGACACAATTTTGCTTTTCCTGAAATTACTCCACTTCTCATTAACATCTGAATTCGAAAGGTTAATAATCACATTTAACTCTAAGCCAAAAGAACCAAAGTTTAGGTTGGATAATTCATTCTGGTTCAGTTTTTAATTCCGGTTTAGGTAATAACCAATGCTTCAGGTGACAACCAATTTAAACTAAGACAAAGACACTAAGACAGCGAGGTTTGCGCATGTTACCCGACACTATCATTTTCTCTCTTTCTCTCTCTCTCTTACAGTTACAGCAGAGGAGCTAAGCAGAGAGGAGCCAAACACATCAATGGCGGCCAACACTTTCGCAACGAAGCTAAGCAGAAACACAAACAGAATCACAGTGATCTTAGTCTACGCCTTCCTCGAATGGCTTCTCATGTTCTTCATCTTCCTCAACTCTCTTTTCACTTGCTTCATCGTCAAGTTCGCTTCTTTCTTCGGCCTCAAGCAAATCTGCCTCCTCTGTCCGAAGCTAGATCGTATCTTCCACCAAAGCCCGGAAAACAGATTCACTTACAGAGAGCTGTTATGTCCAAGCCACGTGGCAGAGCTAGCAAGTCTCAGTTTTTGCAGAACGCACGGGAAGTTATTATCAGAGTCGGTGACTTTATGCTCGGATTGTTCAGATCGAGAGGAGAGAAGTAACATTGGTTTAGGGTTTTGCTCTTGTTGCGAGAAGAGTTTGGGAGAAAGACAGTATCCTAGTTACTTGCTTATCAAGTCATCTGTTTGGGGGAAGACTCTTGTGGACAGAGAGAACAGAGGATTGATCTTGGAGATGATTGATGATGATAAGATTGGAGATGGGTTTGAGATAGGGAGAGAATCTGATAGTTTCTTCAGGGAGAAAGCACAAGAAGAAGAAGGGAAGAGAGGAGAGCAGCAGCAGCAGAATGGTGAAGTGATCTCAGATGTAGATAGCTATGGTTTGAGCTTAAGAGAAGTGTCTGAGGAGGATGGGTTAAGATCTGTCCATAGTAATCATTTTCTTGGGAATGAAGATGAGATCCATGAAGCTGATCCAAGAGCTTTAGAGGATGAACAAAAGGATGATGGTACTACAGGTAATGTTTATATAGAAGGTGAAGACAAAACTTCTGGTAAGAACATCTCCAATATAAAACTCCATATTTTTCTTTAAATTGGATCAACTCTATAATATATTTATGTTTTACTCTAACTCTACTTTGAAAATTGAATAAAAAATAAAAACATTATTTTGTTTATGGACTAAATGCATTTTTACTCTATTATAAATTGAAAAATGGAGTAGTATTTGAATATTTTTATTGGAAACTCCATTTTAAAATGAAATTATGAAGTGGGATGGAGATATTCTAAGGGTTAGAAGACAACTAAGTCTGAAATTTATCTCTAATTGTTTGTTGGTTTAAGAATTCCTCATTTGTGATTACACACAGGGTGTGTGGAAGAAAAAGAAGAAGAAACAGAAAGAGCAGTCTTGTTGGCTGATCAGCATGGGAACAAGAATGAAGCTTTTGTCAGTGAAGATCTATCTGTTGGAGTTGATCCTATTCTAACAGGTCTTGTCCACATATGTATGCATCTTTGGTTTGGTTTGTATGTCTATGTTAAGCACTTTAAGCCTGAACAGTGTTTAACTCTTTAATAGGTAGCCAAAATGAAGAAGAAGAAGAAGAAGAGAAGACTAAAGAGTTTCCGGAAACTCCTACTTCAGGGAGTAGTTTACTACACAAGAAACTTTCTTTTCTGTCCAAAAATGATTATGCAGCTGCCGAAGATGCAAGAGATGTAAGCATAGCAGTGAGTGAGGTGGACGGTGAAGACCCTATAAGAACAATAGAACGTCTGAGAGAGACAGTGAGATCAGAACAAGAAGCACTAAGAGGCTTATACGCAGAGCTGGAAGAAGAAAGAAGCGCGTCAGCAATAGCAGCTAACCAAACTATGGCGATGATCACAAGACTCCAAGAAGAGAAAGCCAAAGTTCAGATGGAGGCGTTGCAGTACCAGAGAATGATGGAGGAACAAGCCGAGTATGATCAAGAAGCCTTGCAACTTCTAAATCATCTGATGGTTAAAAGAGAGAAAGAGAAGGAAGAGCTTCAGAGAGAGCTTGATGTTGTTAGAGCTAAGGTTTTGCAGTATGAGAAGAACAAAACCAAATGCGAGGCTTCTGATGATGATGATGATAGAGAGGAGGAGGAGAATGTGGATTTGGAGAAGATAACATTGGATTGTGTGAAGTCTATGGGGATGCTTGATGAGTCTTTATCAGAGTTTGAGGAAGAGAGGTTAGTGATTTTGGATCAGCTTAAGGTGTTAGAGGACAGGCTATTGACAATGCAAGACAAAGAATCTGCAGGAGAGTTCAGCAATAGTTATGAAGGAGAGAGTTATGAACATGAAGGAGTAACAATGGCATCGATGGCTAAGAGTCTGCTTCCTCTTCTTGACGCTGCAGAGAATGAATCAGAAGATGAGTATCAAGAACAAGAGGAATCAGTTGAAAAGAGTGTTGGTTGTGAAAGCGAGAAGCTAGAGATCATCAAGCAAGTTGATAGTGTCTATGAGAGGTTACAGGTGCTGGAAACAGATGGAGAGTTTATGAAAAGTTGTATGAGTTCGGCTAAGAAAGGTGACAAAGGAACTGATCTTCTTCAAGATATATTGCAGCATCTTCGTGATCTCAGAAACATTGAACTCACTGACACAGTTGAAAACCAGATGACGCATGAGGAATGATGTTTATTTACAAAACTTTATTACCCTTGTTCAGACAGGTTTCAAGAACAGGAATTAATGTCTTTGCACACTGCTCAATGAAGGAGGTCTGAGAGTTATAGAAATTCTTAGATGTTTCTTGTTTGTGTCATTTTGTTTTTGTTTGGAGTAAACAAAAACGTTTTACATTAGTCTTTGGATATGTACCTGTAAATTGTTTGTGTTTCTTGTAGTTTGTGAGAGTTTTCAAGTTGAAAAAAAATGAAAACCAGTACTGATTTTAAAGACTAAAATATTTCAAGGAATGCTAATGGAACATAAAAGCCCATGATACGTTGGTCTCATTACGTTAAAGCCCACTTTTTCTCTTTTCTATATAGCCCACTTCAAGCTATGATTACCGAAAATATTCTTAAGAGAATAGTAAATTAAATTAAATAATAAAGAGTAAAATCAAATTTCCAAATGATAATATCTTAAAATGTGTAATTTTCTAGGGCTGCGACTTTTTAACCGGAACCGAATACCAAACCGGATTCGACCCGAAATAGACCAGTTTTCAGATCGGTTTCAGATCCAACATATTTAACTGATGGGTAATGTTTATGAATATCCGTGGATCTCGGATCGGTTCCGATTTTTATCCGAATCCAATAGAAAACTGATTTTATGTTTAAAAAATATGGATTTGAACCACGAATCCGGATTGACACGATGAAAGAACATCCCCTTTTACCACTACACTACTTTATTTTCTTTGTAACTACTTTTAAACTATAAAAATTTGTGTTCAGTTTTTTTTTTGAAAAGAATAAAATTAATAAGAATGAAAATAGAAAATTAAATATATATATATATATATATATATATATAATTTTGGATAAATATTTATATATCCGAACCGATTTGGAATCGGTCAGAACCAATCCAAATTTAAAACCGAAGTTTAGTCAAGTATTCATTAGATATGTTTTATTAATAACTAATTTATCCGAACCGAATGAGTTTACCTGAAACCGATCTGTTTATTTAGAAATTTTCACCTCTATAAGATATTTAAATAATTGGACTGTTTTCAAGTTGCTAGATTTTTAAGCTCTGAATGCGGTTTTCGTTAGTTATCATATGTTCATATGCTGAGCACTCCAAGTCTGCAAATTAAATTATTTATTTGCTTGCCAGAGTAATATATATTTGTTTATGATGAAATTGTATATCAACCGTCAAGTAGTCATTTTTTAAGCTGCCAATAAAAAATATCCGAAAGTAAAGAATTACTGAAATAACAGCCGTTGATCTTTGTAACGGCAATGATATGACAACAGTGATGGTGGTTCGCTGTCAGTTTGATTGGACTAAAGAACAGGCTGGGTCACTTTCGTCATTAACCAAACTTCACGTTCTTCATTTTCTTCCTATTTCATTTATTAATTAATTAAATAAATAAATAAATATAGATAGTAGTAATTAATAATGGATTAGTGGTAATTAGTTTTTTTTCTTTTTGGTACATCGGATCAGTAGGAGAATCGAATATGTATTTATTTAATTAAAAGTTTTTGTGTAATATTTCTTTTAGGATTTTCGGAGTGTGGCCACTCTGTAAACAGCCACAACTTCTTCTTCGTCTACTTTTATTCTTCTAAACATTGTTTTGTAATTATCTTCTTCAAGTTCAGCGCGGCGGTGGTTGTCGGTGGCTATGGCTTCAAAGACTAAGTAAGACTCTTTTCTCAGTTTAATCCTACTTCTGTCCTAGATATTTATATTGGAATCAGATCAGATCTGGTCCCAAAAAAACATTCGAAGTTACTATATTGAGAAATTGTCAATGATGATGACCTAGTTAGATCCAATTATTTTCTGGATTATATATTTTGATTAAATTGTCTCTGTTTGCTGAGATCGATTCTTTTGTTTGTGTTTCTGTCGGAACAGAACTAGTTTGTCGGAAACTACTCCCGGAAAATCATCTCCTTCAACTCCAAGAGTAGCAAAAGTGAGTAGGGTAGTGAATAAGTCTGAAACCAATTCTCCAGGCTCACGCCTTCCATTGGATCGTTCTTCTCCATCTTCAAAGTCTTCTTCTTTTGAGAGACGATCACCAAAGGTTCCAACTCCACCAGAGGTAAGTGTTGATTTGGTGTTACATTGTTGTAGTCATGTGTTCAGACAATTGTGTGTTGTTTTTATCTCCGACCAGTAATGTTCTTTTGACAAACATTTTTTTTTTGTTTTGTAATGGTTCGTACCAGAAGTAAACTGGTGTTGAATGGTTTCAAACTTTTCTGTTTGACGCCATTGGTTGAAGTTAGATAGATAATCACTGTATGAAACATGTGTCTGTGGTTTTGTAATGTTCTGTAAGACTGTATTATGGCAATTGACATCTATTTGTTTTGTAATGATTCACAGAAAACTCAAGCGCGGGCAGTAGTAGCGAAAGGAACGGAACCGCAGACCAGGTTGACTCTAACTCAAATCAAGGAGGATTTGAAGAAAGCGAATGAGAGGATATCATCATTGGAGAAGGAGAAAGCTAAAGCACTTGATGAACTCAAAGAAGCCAAAAAAGAGGCTGAAGAAGCAGCTCTGAAGTTTGATGATGCTTTAAAATCTCAGAAAGGCGTCGAAGAGAGTTCAGATATTGAGAGAGTTCAAGCTGTTGAGGCAGGGATCAAGGCAGCTCAGAAGAAAGAACTCGAGAATGTCAAGAACCAACATGCTTCAGATTCTGCTGCTCTTGTTTCTGCTACACAGGAGCTTGAGAAGGTTAATAAAGAACTAGCTGCGGCCAATGAGGCTAAGAGCAAGGCCTTGAGCCAAGCGGATGAATCTAGTAAGACTGCTGAGATACATGCAGAGAAAGTTGAGATCTTGTCTTCGGAGTTGACGAGGTTGAAAGCTTTGCTTGATTCAACCCGAGAGAAGAAGGAGATTACAAGCAGCGAAGTGGTTGCTAAACTAGAAGAGGAGATTGTGGGTTTGAAGAGAGATCTCGAGAAAGCGAGAAGCTTTGAGGTAGAGGTCAAAGAGCAAGGGATGGTCATCGAGAAGCTTAATGTTGACCTTGAAGCTGTGAAGATGGCAGAGTCTTGTGCACACAGCTCATCTGAGGAGTGGAGGAGCAAAGCCAAAGAGCTTGAGGAAGAGCTAAAGGAAGCTAACAAGCTAGAGAGATCTGCCTCTTTATCTTTGGAATCTATGACGAAACAACTTGAAGGAAGCAATGATAAGTTGCAGGACACAGAATCAGAAATCACTGATCTCAAGGAGAAAATCGTTACCTTGGAGGCAACAGTTGATAAACAAAAGGAGGATCTTGAGGAATCCGAGCAACGGTTGAGCAATACAGAAGCAGAACTGTCTAAGATTGAAGAAGAAGTAGAGAGCTTAAAGAACGAGCTTGAAACTGCCGAGGAGGAGAAGAACCGTGCTTTGGATAAAGAGCAAGACGCTTCGTTAAACGTTCAGAGGCTCTTGGAACAGAGAAAGAAGCTCTTAGCAGACCTGGAAAGCTCAAAGGAGGAAGAGGAGAAGAGTAAGAAAGCAATGGAGAGTCTAGCTTCAGCGTTACACGAAGTTTCAAGCGAAGGAAGGGAGTTGAAAGAGAGGTTGTTGAGTCAAGGCGACCACGAGTACGAGACACAGATAGAAGACTTGAAGCTGGTCATTAAAGCGACTAACGAGAAGTATGAGAACATGCTTGAGGAAGCAAGGCATGAGATCGATGTTCTCGTTAGTGCGGTTGAACAAACTAAGAAACATTTCGAGAGTTCAAAGAAGGATTGGGAGATGAAAGAAGCTAATCTGGTGAGTTACGTGAAGAAGATGGAAGAAGAAGTTGCGTCAAAGGGGAAAGAAATGAATAGATTGGATAATTTGCTGAAGAGAACTAAGGAAGAAGCTGATGCAGCTTGGAAGAAAGAAGCTCAAACGAAAGATAGTTTAAAAGAAGTGGAAGAGGAGATGATTTATCTTCAGGAGTCTCTTGGGGAGGCAAAAGCTGAAAGCATGAAACTAAAAGAGAATCTGTTGGATAAAGAAACAGAGTTTCAAAGCGTTGTTCACGAGAACGAGGATCTGAAGGCAAAGGAAGATGCTTCTTTAAAGAAGATAGAGGAGTTATCAAAGTTACTAGAGGAAGCAACACTGGCCAAGAAGAAAGAGGAAGAGGAGGAGGAGGTGGAGCTCAGTGAAACTGAAAAGGAGTATGATTTGCTACCGAAAGTGGTTGAGTTCTCTTCAGAGAACGGTCATGGAAGTGTAGAAGAGAAGTCTCTTAAAGTCAAAACCATTGACGAGGAAGCTACACAAGAACATATCAGCAATGGTAACGGCGTAGAGGCTAAAGACATGAATGGTAAACCAGAGGAGAAGAATGAGAAGAAAGAAGAATCTGACAAAGATGATTCGGTGGAAGTTATGTTCAAAATGTGGGAAAGTTGCCAAATCGAGAAGAAGGAAGCTTTCCCCGACAAGAATCTTCCACTAGAGACTCAAGAAGAAGAGGAAGAAGAGTCGAGCAAAATCGATGAAAGTGATAAAACCTCAACAGAGAACAATGTGGATGATACTGGAACCATGTTTAACGCAGAAGATCATCTTGTGATGGAGAAGAAACTCAAGAAGAAGAAGACTTTGCTTGGTAAAGTTGGGAACCTTCTCAAGAAGAAAGCACCTGTAAACCCAAAATAACAAAACTCTTCAAGGTAATGAAACTTATATATATAGAAGAAAACATGTCTCTGTATACTACTTCATCAGTGTTCGTTTTATATATATTTGTTCGTTTTATATATATTTGTTGGTTTCTGATTCTTTTTCTTTGTTCATGTAAAGGTTTGTGTGTTTATGTGATGATAGACTTATTTGAACTGGTTCACTTTTTTTTTTTAATTAAAGAAACTTTTCATGGAAATGAGATCTCCATGATACATACAAAATAGTTTGGCAACATTAGCAAAAGTTAGAAAGATACATCTCTCGAATCTAACGGCTGTCATACAAGTTTGAGACTCAATCTAACGGTTGAGAATAGAAAGATCACGACGAGCCGTTCCCGTCACTATCTCCTTCGATAACCTTCTTCTTCGTCTCTCTCGAACTCTCTTACGAGCTTCTTAGACGACGAATCAATCTGTATATCTCTCTGTGCTAATAAGATGTACTCGTCGTCCAATTTTCTTCAATTTCCACCGGCGCGGCAACCGCCTCTAACTACTATTCCCACCGCCTCTCCATTCATGCTCCGCCGGAGCTCTTACGGATTCGGCGTGTTTCACAGGAAGCGTGCTCGTTTCAAGAGACAGAGCCGGAGCTTAGTTCTAGTGAACTCCTCGTTTCTTCCTCCGCCGTTCGACGGCAGCGTCCCTCTCGATTCCTTAGCTCCATCTCTCGCCGGATTCGCTTCGGGATTAGCGGTTTCTCTTTCATCGATTCTATTCAGAAGATCTGTAGGGATTAACGATCGAACAAGAAGGAGCGTTGAGGAAGTCGTTGGAGAATGGATTCTATTCACGAGTCCGACGCCGTTTAACAGATTCGTTCTCCTCCGTTGCTCTTTACTCTCGTTTGATCTTAGCGTAGGCCAAGAAGGAAGCCTGAGCGATAGGCTCGTGAAGGAAGAGAGACATTTCGTTACTCTAGACCGCGGGAAGATCGTAACGTCCCAGAGAGCTGCGGAGGAGGAAGGTAAGGCGTTAGAGTATCAGAGGATCTGCATCTCTACAGAGGACGGGGGAGTTGTTTCGCTTGATTTTCCGGCGGATTTGGATCTTAGAGAGGAGCGTGGGATGGACACGACTGTGATTATAATCCCGGGAACGCCGGAAGGGAGTATGGATGTAAGCGTTAGGTTGTTTGTAAAGGAGGCTTTGACACGTGGCGTGTTTCCTGTGGTGATGAATCCTAGAGGATGTGCTGGTTCTCCTCTCACTACACCTCGGTGAGGAGATAGATTCAATAATCTGATTTGAATTGATTGCGGATAATTTTGTAATTGTTTTGATTCTGTGTAGGTTATTCACAGCTGGTGATAGTGATGATATATCAACAGCTATAAGATTCTTGACCAAGACAAGGCCATGGACTACGCTTATGGGCGTTGGGAGGGGATACGGTGCAAATATGTTGACGAAGTACGTCGCAGAAGCTGGGGAGAGAACACCTCTTACGGCTGCTGTTTGCATAGATACCCCATTTGACCTGGAGGAGATCACAAGAACATCTCCGTATTGTACTAGTTTGGATCGACAGCTTACTGGTGGATTAGTAGAGATACTTCTGGCAAACAAGGTTGGGGTTTGCTTATAAAACGCATTATAATGATTTATGGAAGTCACTTTTGGTGAGCACTGCTTCTTATTGACTGGGTTATGCAAATGGACAACTTCTAGGAGCTTTTTCAAGGCAGGCCAAAAGCCTTTGATGTTGGAAAAGCTTTGTCTTCAAAATCAGTACGTGACTTTGACAAAGCCTTATCCATGGTGGCAAATGGTTTCGAGAGTTTAGAAGATTTCTATTCCAGTTGTGCCACCAGAGATGTGATTGGGGAAGTAAAAATTCCTGTCCTCTTCATACAGGTTAGTATTCTGGCTGTGAAGTTATGCCTGAGGTTACTCCTCCCTTTACGATATTATACCTCTAAGTCCTAACTCTGAACTGCTTTGTTTTATGGTATCATTATAGTTAGGATTTCATTATATTAGGAGGCTAGTTTCATTGACAAACAGAGAGATCAATTATAGAACTATTGGATACTGTGTGACTCAAGTTAAGGGAGATTCTTATCTTGCACGGATCATAACTAAGACTGAGGGTAATGTTGAATAAGATGCTAGTATAGTAGTATGACATTATTTTAAGGAAATGTTGGCATTGGTACAAAATTAAATTTTGATCCCTCGCATAAGCATGCTTTTTAGTTTTCTTAAAAGGGAACAGTATACGCTACAGGTTTTAATTTGCATGTAAACGTCTAGATAGTCTAAAAAATGGTCTCTTGAGCCCTTGTGTGAATAGTGTTGTACATATTTTGACTCACGAAATTGCTTACATTTGTCAGAATGACGATGCAGTGCCATTTTATTCGACACCACGTAGCTCAATAGCTGAAAACCCATTTACAAGTCTGCTTCTGTGCTCTTCTTCACCAAATCTGATCGACGGATGTACAGTGTCCGTGTCTTGGTGCCAGGACCTTGCGATTGAGGCAACTTCTCTTCCTTTCTCTTTCAGATGCAGACATAATCGTGCATACACGCATCTATTTCCTTATTTCAGTGCAAAGCCTCACAAATACCGTGAATTATACTTGGAAATGATCTGATTGCATTAGTGATCATTGTTTAATACATCTTGGTAGAATTAGGTTTGTTCATGAAATTTAAGAATCCAGGTTTTTACGTACTTTTTCATAAAAAGATGATTTTTTATCGTTTTGATATCTATTTTGGGTCACTACCTGATAGATAAAGGCAGGCATGATACTCTTTATATCCAAGAGGCTTGTTACGATCATGTTGTTAGTACATGATGCTTGTTTTATGTGATTCTACAATTTTTGTTAATATTCTGGTTAAAATTATGCAAGTTCATCCGTCTTTCATGAAAAAGTATTATTTTCTTTAATTCTTAATCGACTCTCCTGTTACATTCACTTCTAGATCTGAGAGATCGATTTCCTATATTGGCCATGCAGTGGTTGGCTGCCGTAGAGCTTGGGCTTCTGAAAGGTCGTCATCCACTTTTGAAAGACGTGGATGTTACTGTTAACCCTTCAAAAGGCTTGGTTCTTTCGGAAGCCAAGACACCTGAAAAAGGTATCACTGCCCAGAAGCTCGCGCAGGTAGCTCGGGGAAAGACGGTGAATGGTTTCCATGTAGATCCTGCAAGGAAAACACTTGAAGACAGTTACATCACACCTAAGTCTAGTTTGCCATTTGGACCAGAGTTGGAGAAGAAAGTAAAAATCGATGCTGGATCTGATGAGCCAGTAAATGATGGGGTTCCGACAAGCGGTCCTGTCAATGTTGAATTAGGCGAAGATAATATGTCCGATGAAGAAGAAAGTGAAAGAGGCGATATGTTGCAGACTGCAGAAGTGGTCGTGAATATGCTTGATCTAACCATGCCTGGCACCCTGAAAGCTGAAGAGAAGAAAAAGGTAACACCTAACGTGCCAAATATAAAAACATCTTTAAGTTGTACTGTGGTCGCTGCATTAACAATTGCTTGACAATTACTCAGTAAATGTCTAGGTTATGGATGCTGTTGGGCGAGGAGAGACAGTCGTTAAAGCTTTGCAAGATGCCGTGCCAGAAGACGTTCGTGGGAAGCTAACAACAGCTGTAACTGAGATCATGCAGTCAGGTGGCAGTAAGTTAAAATTTGAAAAGCTTAACCTTCCTAGTTTATCACCAGGAATTGGAAAAGCGGAGGAAGCAAGGAAAGAACCATTAAGTACCACAGGTCAAAAGGATCCACATTCTGATCCAATAAAAAAGAGGGATGGTTTGGTGAGTGGATCGGACAATTCTGCTGGTGGGATAGCACCAGAGCATTCCTCTTCCAAGGCTTCCCAGAAAGACGGTGATAATGGAAAGACCGAACTCGTCAACAGTAATCAAGATGATAGCTCTGTCCTTGCGAAGAAAGGTAATGATGAGCCAGGGAGTCTTGGAAATAACGAATCATCTGCCAGTGAAAAAAATAGTGCAGCTGATGTTTCTGAGAAGGCTTCTGAAGCAAAGGTTGATAGTACCAACCAAGGGCAGCCAACTGGCACAGATGATATAGCTAGCGATGATGACAAAGTGGACCAAGGTTCAGTAATAGCCAAGCCTCAAAGACAGGAAGAAACTAAGAAAAACGATGAAAAAGGAGCACCTGTGACCAATGAAAATTCCAGTGCATCTGATTCTCTTGAGAAGGCTTCAGATGCAAAAGTTGATGGTAGCAACCAAGGGCAACCAATCAGCGCAGACAATGTAATCAGTGGTGAAGACAAAGCGGACCAGGGTGCTGTATTAGCTCAGCAACAAAGAAAGGAGGAAACCACTAAAAATGATGATGACCTAAAACAATCTGCCACCGACCAAGACAAAGTGACATCAACTGGCAACGATGGAGATGGTGGAGAATCTTCTGCTTCGCAGTCTGTAAGGAAAGAAGAAATTGATGATCAGAACAAAGAAACAAATATTATGGAACCTGTATCTGACCAATCTCAGTCAGTAATTCAGGAACCAAATCAGGCCAAGTTTAATGTTTCCCAAGCATTTGAAGCACTGACAGGGATGGATGATTCAACCCAGGTCGCTGTAAATAGTGTGTTTGGTGTGCTTGAAAATATGATTACTCAGCTGGATGAAGAAAAGAAAGAAGGGGATGAGGAAAATGATGAGAAGAATCTCAAGGATGAGAAGAACACGGAAGATAAGAATGTCGCAGATGTGAAGAATGTCGTTGATGAGAAGACTGTCACAGAGGAGAATATAAGGTCTCCATCTGAAGAGCAAACTTCTTGCAACGAAGAACTGGAATGCCAAATGTCCTCTGAAAAATCACATGATCATGAAACTGGTAAAGGTTCTGACAACAATAATACAACCTCGGTGATGAGTAAAAAGCATTTGGGTGGAGATGAATCTGTGATTGGTCAGTATCTACCAAAGACTTTACCTGCAAAAAATATAGATTCGCTCGAGAATTCTTCTTATGATGGTTACTTTGGGGAGGAACTCTCAGAAGAGCAGATTGCAAACCAATTGGACTTAGATACAACCACTGCACTCATGCTTGATTATTATCCAGAGGAAGGTAAATGGAAGCTTCTCGATCAACAACCAGAATACTTGAGTAACCTTGCTGACAATGCAGCTGTCAGCAGAGATACGCACGCAGATGTTGAGGGACATTCACCTAGTGTAAGTAATGAACAGAACATCATTGAGCCTTCATATGTGATATTGGACCATGAACAAGAGGTGGAACTCTCTGAAATGCATGAGGCAGTGGAAGATAGAAATGACGATCTTCACAAATCAAAGGAAGGGTGTGATGAATTAGAGCACCTCATCAAAGTTATTGTATCAGACTCTTTGAATGTAGAAGTTCAACGCAGAATGAATTCAGCTGGCATGAGACAATTTGAGTCTCAACTCAGTCGAGATATAAAAAGGGTAGCAAATGCAATTTCTTTTGCTGTTGTATATGGGGAGCCTACTTGGACTTTCAAAACGAATAGCAAACATTCCAACATTCCTGCTGGAAAAGTAGGTAAACTTCGTGGGAATGCTATCATTAGGGCAATTTCATCTGCTGTTCAAGAAGCGCATTTTCTCAGGCAAGTATTGCCTGTTGGTGTTGTTGTTGGCTCCGTTTTAGCTGCTCTGAGAAAATATTTCGATGTATCCACATCAACCGATAACGCTGAGAGAGATATTGTCATGGGTAGAGCCCAAAAACATGGGAACAATGGTGCAACAAAGAGTGTTGTGCCAACCCAGACGAGCCGGAAGCGCAAACAGAAGAACTCGAGTATTGGAGAAATGATGGAATCTGGCCTGCAAAATATCAGCAATGAGCCTGTTATGGTTGGTGCTGTAACAGCTGCTCTGGGTGCATCTGCTATGCTGGTTCAGCAGGAGGTATTGTTTGACATTAGTAGTCAGATGAATAAATTTTAAAACAAGGGACTAAACGAACATGTTTGCCCTTTATAATTAATGCACAGGATTCTCAAAGCGGTGGCATCATGTCAAAACCATCGGAGAAAGAAAGTAAACAGAAAGACCAAAGCGGTATGGTAGCAAGTTTTGCTGAGAAAGCTATGTCCATAGCTGGTCCTGCGGTTCCAACAAAGGAAAGTGGTGAAGTGGATCAAGATAGGTATTAAAAAGTGGAGAAATCAATTCCTGTACATCAATGCCCTGAGTTTATTCCTAATATGAAATTTCTTGATTTTGCATGAGAACAGGATTGTGACGATGTTGGCAGATTTGGGTCAGAGGGGTGGCATATTAAGGCTAGTTGGGAAACTTGCCTTGCTTTGGGGTGGCCTTCGTGGTGCTATGAGTCTAACTGATAAGCTAATCCAGTTTCTGCGTGTGGATGAGTGGCCCTTACTGAAGAGGTAAGCTGATTTTCGCCCTAAGTATCTTTGTTGATTATGTCCACTATTTCGCAACTGATCTGATTAGCTGTGAAGTAGGCTCTTCTAAGTTTTTTTTTTAATCCAAAAACTAGACCAGTCCCCTTATTATATACGTTTTTTATGTTGGATGTATCCTAATTTTGGCAGCAAGTTTTTCACTAATCTAAGTTTGTGGTTAGATGAAATGAACGTTGAACTGTAAATGTGTATTAACCATCATCAAGAAAATAAACAGAAGAACTAACGTCTGATTCGTCACTAGACTCACTACACATTTGCAAGTAATATTTTCATTGTTGGTATGCTAGATCTTTCACTACGTGGTCGCGAGTGACTTCTTTGCTCTTAAAAGGCTAAACTCGCTTAGGAGAACAGTCATGTTAATGATTTCATTCTCTAATTTTAGTACCATAAGTAGGATCTTCTGATTCTTCTTCATATTAGCCGGTCCTAATGATTCTTGTATGTGTATCATCTCTCTTCTTTGTTAATTAGGGTTGTGGGATTTATCGGAATGGTGCTCGTTCTGTGGTCACCGGTTGTGATACCATTGCTTCCAACGCTTGTCCAGAGCTGGTCCACAAGTACTCCATCTAGAGTGGCGGAACTAGCTAGTGTAGTTGGCCTCTATATTGCTGTTTTTATTCTTGTTATGCTATGGGGGAAGAGAGTAAGAAAGTATGAAAACCCATTCAGACAATATGGACTTGATTTCAAGGGATCAGCCAAAAAACAGGTAATCTATTAAACATAGTATTGGGCTTAGAATATTAGAAATAGTTTGTTTTGCTTTGCATTGGTGGAAAAATCTTCTTGGCCATAATTACTTCCTTAGCCACTAGTCGCAACCTTGAAATTGAGGTCACGAAGTAGCATTATATGTTCTCCTTATCGTCACTTCATCCCATAAAACAGTAGAAATGAGCCTGCGAGTTAATTCCATGCAGGTTCAAGAGTTTTTGAAGGCCTTGGCAGGGGGTATCACAGTCGTTCTATTAATACAGTCCATAAATACAATATTAGGAGCTGCAATTTTATCTCGGCCGCCATATCTTCCACATCCCTTCGATGCCATGAAGTGGCTTAAAGGAAGCGTGCAACTGCTTCTGCTGGTAGTGAAGGGATTTACAGCTGCGACATTTGTTGTATTTGTGGAAGAGCTGCTCTTCAGATCATGGATGCCTAACGAAATTGCTATAGATACGGGATACCATCAAAGCATTATCATTACAGGGCTCGTATTTGCCTTGTTCCAAAGGTATTTATTTCTCTCTTTACATAGTATTTTATTTTTCCAGAGTTGTGTATATGTGTGTATTTTATACTATAGTCAGTCATACAGTTCTCGTCCCAAATTGATTCTAAGTATTATTGTTTTCTTGTGGAATTTCAGATCCCTGAGATCAATTCCAGGGTTATGGCTTTTGTCGTTGGGGCTCGCAGGGACTCGTGAAAGAAGCCAAGGAAGTCTGATTGTTCCAATCGGGTTGCGAACAGGAATAATCGCAACAAGTTTTATACTTCACACAGGTGGATTCCTCACCTACAACCCGAGTTCCCCGGTTTGGATTGCAGGGACTCGCCCGTTACAGCCGTTTAGCGGAGTGGTTGGTTTTGTTGTCTCTGCGGCGCTAGCTCTCATTCTTTATCCAAGACCTCCAGAAACCATGATGCAAAAATACAATTTACAAAAAGAACCCAAACATTAAGTAAGAAACGGGCTTTTCTGCTCATGTCCTCTCTGTGATTTGCAGACTGAGAACGAAGGATAAAAGAGGAGTAGGTGAATGTATAAAGTTGGGGACAGAAGAAGAAGAGCTTCGGATTCACAGACTTGTAAGTAGGAAGCGTAAGACCCCTTCTGTACCTAGTAGAGTATAGTCTTCTACAATTCATCATAACAGTGTATAAATAAGTAATATATATAGTTATATGTGGTGTTACAAAAAGAAACTGTAATATGTGATCAAGGCAGAGATTGAATCTAAAGTAGGCTTAGAGCATAGAAAAAGAAAGTTCCTGTAGCTGCTTAATGAGATTGGAAGTGGATACTGGTAAATAACAGATTTGTTGAGCTTCTGTGCTATGGAACAATAATAATCTTGCTTGTGTCTAAGTCCAAGGCTCACTAAGCAATTACACACAAAACGAACGAATAAACTCAGCGATAGACAAGTGAGTTTTACCGAAAATTGGGATTCCACCACCTTAAATAAAAAATGTAAAACATTCATGTCATTTGCTACATGCGATGGAACCAGTGTTTTAAACCTCAAGCTGCGATTACATTTCCATTAGCTTCCGCAACGAGCCTCTTCTTGTTCGATTTATCTTTAGATTTCTGAGACTTTCGTTTCCTCGAAGGAGTCTTCTGGTCTACTCCTTCCGAGTCTTGTTCCATTGCAGACACAGAAGCGATGACCTCTTCTTCCATCTTCTTGTCTTTACGATACTCCGTCTCAGTCTCTGGATCAATCACAGACATTTCGCCCAGTGTGTAGTCTAACAAGAAACTGCTTCTAACAAATCTGTCCATCCTATTGAAATGTCTCTGAGAATATGGTATTAGACCTTCCAGGAGTTCTCCAATTCCTTTTACCTGTCGAACAAAAACTCCAAGATCAACCAAATGAAACCAATATTATTGATCACTGACTTTTATATGCAAGACAAACCTGAACGATTTCTGTGGGAGGAAGTATGTTGAAGGTTTGGTAAAGAACAAACTGAGCAATGTGGCATCGGTTTGGTTTTGTGTTCCATTCTCTGAGATATTCAAAAAGTAAACGGAACTCTTCTTTCTCCAGTCCTTGAAGAGCTTTCACAATCTGGTCATCTGATTCTCTTTTCTTGCAGAGTCCAGCAAAGAGTTCGTAAACTTTGTGAGGCCTGCGAAGCTCAAATGCTAATCTTATGGCTTTAGTGTATTCGGCATCTAACACTGCGTTTTCCAACTCTTGACCTCTCAAGATTGTTTCCTCCTGAACAACATAAGAGATTCAAGATGATGGTTAGACACATAATCAATGACACATGAAAGCTCCATGAAAACCAAAGTGTTTAGTAAGTGAAATTGACGGACCTCTTTCCGGAATTCGTCTTCTTTATCAGAAGCGGTGGAATCATGCCATAAATTAATAACTGCATCGCCTCCACCGGTTGCAACCATTTCTGTTTTCTTTCCAACAGCTAAAGCCCATACCTGATAAAAAAAAATTCAAGTGGTTTGTGTGCAAGTGATGGCTATGAACATGTTCCTTTAGAAATACAGACCAAGATATGGATACATCAAGAAACCATGGATTGCTAAGGGTACCTTGTCCTCGTGCTGGTCATATGTGGCAATGCACTCGCTAGTGTTCACATTCCAAAGTTTCAATAAACCATCGGCACCTACAAGTACATTGTTAGAATGTGAAGACTAAAAAAAGAAGAATAAAGTATTGAAACCAAGCTAGTGAAGCATACCACATGAGACAAATTGGGTGCCATCAGTTATGAATGAGGCTCTAAGGACACTTGAGGTATGACCTTCGAATGTTTTGAGGCATGAACCATCAGATATAGCCCAAATTTTTACTGTTTTATCACCTGATGCAGTCATTACGCACTGATCAACAGGTGAGAACTCAACAGAAAATATCCGCCTCTTGTGTCCTTTGAGCGTAACAACATGCACCAAGTCTGGTAGACGCCATATGCTAGCTGTTCGATCCTGTAAGGCAGAACCAAATACGTCAAATAAGAGCATCAAGCATGTCTTCTCAGAGCCCAGTGCACAAAGATAAATACAAGTGTTTGTATTTGAAAAATGTCAACAGACTGAGATCACCACAAAATGAATCAGAAAAGGTTTGTTCATCATATCTAATTACCTCAGAGCCAGTGCAAACCAAGCTATCATTACGAGCAACAGCCACGGAATTGATGTCTTTATCGTGGGCAGCAACAACACTTCTAGTTTTCAGATTAATGGGCTCTTCCGAGTCCTCTGAGATACCATCAAGGCTCCAGACCTTCAGTGTACGATCACTAATCCAGTGGAATGGAAGATAAGAATTAAAAATATACTAAGAGAACGATGACAACAAATTGTGGGAGACACGCTAAGAAGGAGATATAACAATCAGATCATAAATATCTACATTTACAATGAAGACAAGGTTCTACACCTTCTATCATGACATGAATGTGTCTGCATTTAAGTCACAAGTTGGTTTCAGCAGATTATTTCTTGACAAATTAATATAACAATAACCAAACTATCTCAACCATATAGTACATTTCCCACTCCGAGGCATAGCAGTAAATAGCCAACAAACTACAATCTAAATTTGATCATTCCTTATGTCCCCCAGTTAAGTGGCAGGGTAAAGAAAGGAGCAGAGACCTAATCAAAATTATCTATAAGCTAGAAGAATCAGTTCTGGGAAGGCCTATAGTATTATCATGCTGGCAATACCATACTTCACTTATACCAAAATGCAAAGAATATGAAATCATTTATGTAGCACGTACCCACTGCCACTGACAAAGAAATTGAAAGACTTCTTCGCAAAAGCAACCGCTAAGATATCGCCGTTATGACCTGTACCAACTCCAATGCAAGATTGGCTGGTTGCATTCCATAGCCTTACCTGTAAAGCAACAAAATAAACACTCAATGAAAAAAAAAGAATCCATCCCTAGTTATCTAGATTTTGCCTATCCATCTAACTCAATGAAAAAAACTCATGCGAACAAGGTTAGTAAAGAACTACAAGGTAAGTAGATGAACTTACAGTTTTGTCTTTACTTCCAGTCACGATTAGAACATTCCCAGAACTAGACACGCATGTGTCAAGGGACAGAACAACTTCTTTATGGCCAGCTAAAACGTATGAACATGACATTGTTTCAACATCATAAACACGAACCTGTATAAAGATTTGCACAACTTAGTCCATCAAAGTATCAAATGTTAGACCTGATCATACTCACAGGATAATAATCAAGTCTGCAAAATGCTTAGTTACCTCCTCGAGATTTGTAGCTACTGCGAGAAACTGTTCTTCATCACCTAGAAACTTCATATCAGATATTTCTTCATTATATCCAACAAGCCTCTTGCTTAGCACTAACTCGGATTCTTCCTCATTTTCCACAACGGAGTAGATAAAAAACTGTTGATCAGCAGTCACGCAAAGCAGTCCACGATCAGAAGGCAGCATAGCAGCTGCAGTGAATCCTCTTTTAGATTCTTCATCATCCGAGCTGACAGTGATATCCGACGACTTCTGCTCGTAGAGGCAAACTGAACTGTCAAAGTGAAAAGCTAAAGATTTCAATCCATTTTTCTTACGCTAGGATGGCTTATAAAATTTCACACCAAAATTATACAAAAAATATTGAGGGATATAATGGCTTACCCTTCAGACTTCCAAATGCGCACTACACCACGCTCCCCAAGAGTAATAAAATGCGTTTCTTGAGAAGGAGTTTTCTTCTTCTTACTCTTCTTATCAAGAGAAGTTACAAATGAAGCAAAGGGTGACCCAGAAGAAACTGGAGTCACAGCTTCTAGTACCTCATAGGTTGCAACCGTAGTCTTGCAGCTATAATCATGAAGGTCCCACACATTCACAACCTGGGATTAACCAATAAGTTGTCAGACACCACTGATCCCTTGAACTTAACGAATAGAGGCAGTACTTAAATGCACCATGTAATTAACACAAACGGGAAACTATCCTACTCCTGAAGTGCGTTACTAAATTAGACTAAGGAGTGCTTGCTGAGAACTTACTTTATCTCTTCCAGCACTGAGTAAAGTCCATCCATCCTCTGATAGAGCAATGCAAGTCACAGCTGAAAAGTGCTTATCCAAAATAGCAAGACACTTCTTCTCAGTATTCTTTGCCATAAGATCCCAGACACGAACAGTTGCATCATCACTTCCCGATATAAGCTACACCCACACGCCAAAAACGAAAATCTTGTCATCAGACAAAGAACGAATACCATATATAAAATATACTTTTACATATAGAAAAAATCTCTCTTTACATACAATGTTTTTGTCAACATCAGGATGGAACAAGACACTTGAAACAACTCCTTTATGACCTTTGAAATAATGAGTACAGAAACCACCATCAACATCCCAAACAAGCACTTTCCTATCAGCTCCAGCTGTAGCTAACAATCCACCAGAAGCATGGACAGCCATTCCCATCACAGGTCCCTCATGTCCCTGCTCATCAACACAAACAACACTCATATTAAAAAAAAAATCGAAATTTGCCAAAATACACTCTTTTCAATCATACAATAATACCTTCCAAGTGCGAATACATTTCAAAGTTTCCAAATCCCAAACTCGAATCTGTCTACTATGTCCAGCGGAGAAGAGCAGCTTATCGTCAGGACTAAGAGCCAAAGCAGTGAGCGTATCCGACTCTCCTTCGATTGTTGATTTCACCGACGAGTCCACCGCATCGACTATGTTGATGGAGTCGCCACATGCGCAGACGATAAAAGAACCATCTGACGAAACGATGAACGGTCCGCCGCCGTAGAACTGCTTAAGAGAACGAGCGCACTTGTAGTTCTTCTTCAACGAGTGAGGAGCCATCTCTCTATCTCTCTCGAGCTTTCCCGTCCGGTGAAGATAGGACGTTAAAACTGCGCGCGAGGAAGAAAAGGTAACCGGAGAAAGAATTAGGGTTTAAGCAGAACACATTTATACCCCAGGTTTTGTTAGCTTTTACTTGGGCCTTATAGATCCACTAAGCCTATTAACCTTAAATTAGCCCACATTAAAAATAAAACATCGTATGGGCTCATTAGATCTACCAAGCCCATTAACAGTGAAAGGCTTACATAAGAAAACGAAGCATTATTAGCCGTCAATCCTATGAAAAAGACCAGCACTATTAGTCTACATCCACACGCTTACACGTGTCAAACATTCGCCACTTGCAACCTCACACGTACCTATATTCGATTCCACACGTGTACAACCCTCTCTTCTCTTCTCTCTATTTCATCTCATCAAAGGCCCTCCCTTTCGATCTTTTCCTCTTCGATTCGCCCTAAGATTCTCTTCGATCTGATCTCTGTAGAATCTCACATTGATCTCTCTCTCGAAGAAGAAGCTTTTGATTCCTCTGGGAATGAATGTTACCCTAACTCCGAACCAGAGCTAACAACACAACGATGGCAGATTCAACCAAGGAGAGGAGATACACAGTCGGATACGCTCTCGCAGCGAAGAAGCAAAACAGTTTCATCCAACCTTCGTTGATCGAACACTCACGGCGACGTGGCATTGATCTAATCAAACTCGATCCGACGAAACCGTTATCAGAGCAAGGTAACCTCGATTGCGTAATCCACAAGCTTTACGACGTCGTTTGGAAACAGAATCTATCTCAATTCCGCGAGAAGTTTCCACGTGTCCCCGTCGTTGATTCCCCCGAGGCGATTGAGCGGTTACACAATAGAGTCTCGATGCTCGAAGTGATTACTCAATTGACCTTTCCCGTCTCCGAAAGCGAACGTTTCGGAGTCCCGAAACAGGTCGTTGTGATGGATGAGAATGTGTTGAGAGGTGATGGAGCGTTAGGGGAGCTTAAGTTCCCGGTGATAGCTAAGCCGTTGGATGCAGACGGGAGCGCGAAGTCTCACAAGATGTTCTTGATCTACGATCAAGAAGGGATGAAGATACTTAAGGCTCCCATTGTGTTGCAGGAGTTTGTGAATCACGGCGGTGTGATCTTTAAGGTTTATGTTGTTGGTGACTTTGTGAAGTGTGTGAAGAGGAGATCTTTACCTGATATCTCTGAGGAGAAGATCGGGACGGCGAAAGGTTCGCTGCCCTTTTCGCAGATTTCGAATTTGACGGCGCAGGAGGAGAAGAACAAGGAGTATGGTGAGGATAGGAGTTTGGAGAGTGTGGAGATGCCTCCGACGAGTTTCTTGGAGGAGTTGGCTAAGGCGATGAGGGGATCTATGGGGCTTAATCTGTTTAACTTCGATGTGATTAGGGATGCGGGGGATAAGAGTAGGTACCTTGTGATTGATATTAACTACTTTCCTGGGTATGCTAAGATGCCTTGTTATGAGCCTGTGTTGACGGAGTTCTTTTGGGACATGGTCACAAAGAAGAATCATGTCTGAGAAGAACAATAGCAGGAACGTTTCTTAGGGAGGATTTGTGCACATTGCAATGTGTAACGGAGACATCTCAATCTGTCCAATGGTGACACCTAGCTGCTCTGCTGATTTTTCATTTGGATTCTTGAACCTGTGCTTTTTTTCTTTTTTAATTATTATTATTTTGTTAGTTGTTTATCTCTGGTTTACTTCCAAGTTTTGCAAAGCCTTGTTCAAATGCTTAACTGTTGCCTACTCTTGAATAGCATTGGATTTCTAAGTTCTTGGCCATTTAGCTCTGTTTCTCAATTCTTGGTACTTGGTAGTGGTGTAGAGAGTGGTTTCTCTGTAAACCTTTTATAGCGTCTGTTTCTCAACAGTCTGTCAAGAATGAGATAGTTGATTGATGAAAATGCATTACATCTTTGTAAGTTGTTGATAGTTAACTTCCCTAGATAGTGCTTTCCATTCTCGTTATTCTGAAGTTGTTTTTATTATATGAAACGAGTGCTAAGTAAGCTCTATGTATCCGTCTTCTCATATGAACAAGAGACATGAAACTGGTTTGCAAGATATCATCTCCGACTTTTGTATCTTCATCTAAGCTTTCTTGTTTGTGCATATTATCGGTACAGAAATAATACGTATGGTCCTTTCTTTGAGATCATCTTGTAGTAAGGTATGTGATTGGTCTTTACTTAGTCATGAATCCCTTGGAATCTTTCTCACATAAAATCTCTTTGGATAAAATGAATCTAGAAATCTTTCTCACATCCATGAGCTTCTCATTTTAAGAATCTTTATGATTGCGTCCTGAGTATAGGTCTTTTGTTTCAACGGTGGAATTTGATTATCCAAAATTTGAAACTACTGAGTTAGATTCTCCAGCATCTTATTCCATGCTTTGATGTGTGCATCGTATGCATCTTGTGGTTAGCATTTATGTATGTATTCATACTAAGGTTGGCATTTATGCTTTGGCAACTTGGATGTTAGCTGATGAGATGATTCTGAGCAAATTTAATATTCTTATCAAAATCTACATTTTTTTTAATAATGCTAAGCAAGTGAGTGATCTGGATCATTCCGAATATATTTATCAATTTTTTGGTATATTAAACAAAACTTGAGATTGAATATAGTAAGAGTTGTGTTTTCAAAAAAAAAATGTATATATAATAACAGTTTGATAATATCACAAGTTTTATTTTAATAGATGATATTTAAATCGAGTAATTTGTTTATCTACTATATTAAAACAGAAGTCATGACTCATTTCATGTGTGATTTTTTAGTTTGAACCATCCTTAGAAAATTTATAAAATGTTACATAACATTATTATAATATCTTTTCATATCTTTAATTTTTATTTGAAATATAAATAAATATCTTTGAGAAATTCTAACAAAATATTTTAAAAATCTTTTAGAATCTTTTCAAGATATATTTTCGAAAATTATTATATTAAAATTTTAATTATCATAAAATATAATTAAAACTTTCATTCCTTTTTGATTTATAAAC